GATACTGCTCTGATACATAAGAGAAGTTTCAATTGAAAGATCGGAGAATTCATGTATAGACACATGCATTTCTATAAAGCATATATAGATCATTTGCCTTTTATCACATAGGTTTCGACCATTGATGTCCCTTTGAGCTTCATGCTTCGGGAAGACACGTACAGCACACATACAGCATTTATATGTGCATTTCTACTGTAAAATAAAACGGGTTTATTGCAGAGGAAATGCAGGTTTACTGCGTATTAGGAGAAATATTTCTTTTCCAGCTATTGTTTTTTTGTTCAAAATTATTTGAGAATTGTTAATGTCTCTCAAAAAGTTCTAAAGAAGCGCGAAGTTGTATAACTAATTTTAGCTTCTATTTTTCATTTAATTATATGTTTCTAATAATGATTAGGAACCAAATTTTAGTATCTATATGATTTTAATTTTTTTCTTAACGTGACTACGGAAAAGAAAGATGAAGAAAGCTATTTAACATAATACAAAGAATCGCGAGAAATTTTCTGGAATCCTTGAACTCTCAAGAAAACGCCGTCAGGTGCGATATTCTAACGCGTGCGCTCAGTGCTACTTTAAGCCCATATGCCGAAATGAGGTCAGAGGTCAGGAGCAACACGATAACACGTTCCCTGCATAACGCTGACACATTAGTCGCCCAAAAGCGTCCGAATTAGAATACTCGAATGTTCTATGTATGACAGTCGAATATAGTCTAGTTGAATATCGTTATAAATATTCTTGCATCAACAATGCATTACTTCTTGTGTGTGTGTGTGTGTGTGTTTAATATTCATATTTAAATCTATGTTTGAAATAAAAGATCGAGAAAGTGTATTCTTCACTTAAGTTATAATCAGTTATAAAGAAAAAGAGAGAGAAAATTATTTTGATAATAACATAAAAATATTACACAAAAATCAATACGCTTATTAATAAATAAATTCAGTATCCTATATAATGATCAATTGCATTCTGCGTTCGATAAAAAAATTTATGGTTCCATACATAAATTATCCCACACGATATTAAATTTTAGAGAAAAAAAGCTCTCTTATTCTAGAAATTAAATTTATTTTGGCCTCTCGCAAATTTAATTATTGAATTTATATTGACAAAATATTAAATATTTATATAATTACGCTTTTACAAAGAATATATTATTAGAAGCCATTTTTATACATATGTTAAATGTGAATACAACTCAAAAATTGATTTTTTTAATAATTAAAATAATATTTCAGAGAGGCAAAATATATTTTGTTTAATGTTACCTCAATAAAATTAAAAGGGATATGCAAATATATTTTGTAACTAAACGAAAATTCGTGTATATATTACGTTAATGTGGATACATTTGATACAAACATATTCTCAAATTGCGTGAAACGAATATCTGATAGTGACTTGGAGTTAATGATACTTCTCATTATATCGAATTGATATTCATAACGGATCACATACATTCAGATATTATGTATATGTTTCAAGTTGCATAATGATTTCAGTTATGCGGTCGTTATTGTCAGTTGCGTTCGATCCGAATTCGAAAAGCTGCACCTGATTTGTGCGCCCATATCTGATAACGCAGAGATTGCACGCATATTGTGCGCTTGATGACGAATTTCAAAGTTGGGAACGATGAGATATTGACGACCCTATCAGATATCGGTCCGGATGCGTGGATATTGCACAAGAGTGCTATTGCATGTGGCGCGATATGGCTTATTCAATCTATACACTATATCGATTAGTTCAAAATCGATGGATGCCGCCGTAAAAGCATACTCACTATTATGCATCGCGCGTACGATAGCGAGAAAAATGGAAAGCCTGAGGAAAATGGTGACAATATGCTTTTTCTTGTATGTAGGACAGTACTTTTGATTGTGAAAAAATAAACGAGTCTAAAATAACTAAAATGGTAAAGGAATTGTTACATTGCGAGAAAAAAATTCGTTCATTTGCGATTGAATGTGTTGATTAATGCAAAACATATTTTTTCCTCCATCAAAGATGATTTTTATGACAAAGGTTAAAAATAAATTCTATGATTGATATTCAAAACCAAAAATCTTCGCTTAATGAAAGATTTGCAAATAAAAACATTGACAATATATTTTATATACATTTTAATTTCTACCATAATTTTATAATTACAGTCGTTACAATCACATACACACACATTATGCAGTTATTATAAACACTTATATCCCAGAATTATCAATGACTTTTGTTCTAATACAAATAAAATAAACATGAATGTTTTTTTTGTTTGTGGATTAGTTTCATATCACTTCAACTTATAATTGTTTGATTCGAATCTATAAGTGATTCGCTAGAATTAGAAAGGAAACGTTTTTTATCAGGTAATCGATAACCGTAACATTGGTATTCTATTCAAAGGATGCCGCTCTATCAAATGTGCAATATTATACATGCATAACAGACCTCTCGAAAGGATAAGCTTATTGCTTTTCAAGCAAGTCAAATATATCTCTCTCAAAGAAATTGTATTACTCACATAAATTTTATTACCATATATATAATTCGATGAATATAATTAATTTGTAAGTCTGAATAAAGGGAAAATGCAATTTTATTATGCAACTTATTTTTAAATTTTTTAATTTTAATAACAAATATTTAATAAATTTAAATCGATTTTTTCTTAACAAAAATATAATTCTTTATTATAACTAAATCAAAATACTGAATGCTGAAACTAATATTCTTTCATTATTTAACAACAATTATTGATGCATTTCGAAAATGTATCGATATCATTATCTTTAAACCCACGCTTATTTTGTGCTCGCCAAAAGATGATTTAGTTTAATGGTGCAAAGCGTACAAGCTTTGCGCAGCAAGCAGAGCATTTGGTTGGCATCGCCGGTCTAAAAGTAGCAACAATCCAACACCGTCCAACACAGTACAGAAATCATTGGGCGACTAACGTTCTCGTTTGCTGTTTCAATCCGTCTTGCGAGACTCATTCGTTCAATAGTGATCCGTAAAAATTATAAATTTTTTAAACATACACCTCTCAATCATGCAACAATGTGTGTGTATCTATTTGCTTTTGTAGCTTGCAGTGATTATAGTGAATGAAATAATTGATCCAGTTGATTATAGTGGCTAAGCGTCGTCGCGATATGAGATCATCTATTCTATTATCATCAAGTACCAAGAATATTGGAGAAGATTCCCGTGATTTAATATGAATATAAAGCCGAAAATAATTAAAATAATTCCCGATACGTTGTTAGGAGTGTAATTACACTAGAAAAGATTTGTTTGTCGATATACATTAGAATTTAAATTAATCTTGAACTAAAAGAGAATCAAAATTTTGAAGAACCTATCACTGACAAAAATACTTTGACAAGAATACTTTCTTCTTTTTCATCATATTTCAATGCCTCTAGAAATCTTATGATGATTCTAAATAGAAGTAATAGTTTTCTCATTCCATTATAAAACACATTGCATTTATTAATGAATCAGTATTCCTATATTTCTCTTTAAAAGTGAATCAATGTATTATCACTGTAATCAGTGCTATACTTATAATTGCTTGTAATCAGTGAGTATACATTGATTGATCAGTGATAATACATTGATTGATGCTAGTGAAAGTAGTATATGTACTGAATCAGTGTATCACTGAAAAACAGTAAATACTCACTGATTACAAGCAGTTATAAGTACAGCACTGATTACAGTGATAATACACTGATTCACTTTTAGAGAGTACAAGATATAACTTTAACACCATTAAAATCCTGAATAAAGGTTAAATTAAATTAATTAGATAAACGTGCCTTATCTAGCGAAAAACGTGCTCCACCTCGATAATATAAAATTTCGCACGTAATGATCCGAAACGAGCAACGGAAATTAAAGTCTTCCGTAGCGGATTATTAAGAAAATATTGCGGCCGGTTCGTCGAGACGCTTATTTATCGACATCTCACGGGAAGCCTCGAGGTAATTTACGGACGAATTGCTCGGGGAAGTTCATGGTTGGAACTCAACCCCTCGTCCTATGATTCCTCGTGGAAAAGGACGCCCACGCGCCAGAAAAAGAGATGGTCACACAAACGGAAATAAAAGGACCTCGAAAGATGTTTCTCGGGGTGAGCAGGACAGAACAGGCGGCGGAATCGTGCAGGGCGAAGAGGTGGTTACGTAATATCCCCGACGACTCTTATAACCGCGCGAGAATAACTCCAATTTCTCGGCTTGGTGGAGAGATGGTGAATTCCGTTCTGCGCGGTTAGCTCTCCGCTTGCGGTTCCAGCCCTCAATTGCAAAAAACTCGATAAACGCGTATCTGCCCCGGGAGATTGACGATCGATTCTAATACGATGAATATTTTTCTCATTTTAATTTACATTCAATTTCTAACAGGAAATCCGTGTAATGTCGAATATTAATTGTTATATTTCTTTGATAATTTATGGAAGATTTTTACGAGTACACAAATTATGCAAAGTTGATTCTGATAATTGAAAACGGTACTTCAGACAATTAATTTGGAGCAAGGAAAAGATGATGGGTAGACGAAAGCAATTTATAAGCTTTATTCCGAGTTCTGACAAATCAAACACTTCGGCACGTGACTGCCCTGACCCACGCGATGCTTACTGTGATAATACTAAGGTTATTATTATTTTACCAGCGGCAGAAAATTAATGAATTCATTATAAATACTTTCTGAATGATGAAAAACAATGACAGACAGACTCTGATAAGAAACCGTGGCAAGCCCATCTAACTGAAGTAGATTATTAGAAGTACCACACACGATGAGCGATTTATCATTTGAAGCGATAAAATAACGAAATGATCAAGAGTGAAGTACTTAATAATTTCATGATAAAAATCACGAATAAAAATAAAATGAAATATGTAATATATACCTCTTTATCACAAATTATATATCTCTTTATTACAAATATTCCTTGCCATCAGATTTTAACTTTAGCCCGCGTTCTCTCAGTGATAAAAGCAGGAGAAAAATTTACGTGATAAGAACTTCATTCTCAACTACAAATTTATTCATCTGTATTTAATTCAAAAGTGGAATTTCGCTCTGTCCCCGCGTTAACGAACAAACTGCATTAGCTGCTTTCAAAGAGTCCTATCACCCCGATCTGTCGGACACCCCAAACATGCGTTCACCGCTATTGACTATTCGCGCAACCAGCAGGTTTATATCCAACAACTTGTGTATGTATCAGCAACTAGCTATCACGACCGGTTGCCCGGACCGAGACGTGTTGAACGATTGGCAGCCGCAATCGGTGACGATGTGGTGGGAACGACGCGTGTCCCGAGTGATGTATAAAGAGTCTCGTCGCGATCGTCGCCAACTACTCTGACATCGTCGACCGACTCTGTTTTGGTCACGAAAAAATCGCCTTCGTATCGTTCAATGCGACACGATCTCTGAACGATTTCCCGGAGTATCAAAGTGTATCGAGTGTATGAAGTGTATTAGTCACGCAAGATTCCCCATCGAATATTCTGTGATAAAGAACAACATCGGTGAATCATTTGAATCAAAGTGGCGGTGAATTTCATGTGAAAAATCGGCGCTTCCCTTGCTCCCGTGGGAAAGGATTGAATAATGCCAACTTGCACCTGCCAGAATAGGACTCTGAACGAGTCGGGGGAGCACGTTTGCTCCTTGAAACCACCGATGGAGAAGGACAAGACCAAAGAGACCAGGGAATACGTCAGTCCGGTCAGGTAGAGGCGTTTTTTAGAGATAACCGGAAAGTGCATCTTGTTCAATCCGGCTTGGTTTGAATAACCAAGTAGATTTAAGACGATATAGATAAAAATAGAGCAAACATCCTGTTTCGATTTCTATATCGCAGATTGGAACGAGTTATAAAAATTAATTTATTTGTCGATAAATTTGATAACCGAAGTTTAAAGTTCATTTTACGTTGCCTAGCAATGTAAATTGTTTTTCTGAATTTGATTAACTCTCTTTTTTATAACAATCTATCCAAAATCACAAAAACGCCTAAAATGAGTTTTATGCATTAAAAAAGAAAAAATTTTATTTTTGTGTGATCAAAGATACCTTTTCTAGTATCCTTAAAAAGTTCTATTGATGTTTGTTATCTAAAAGATTGAAATATCTTTCCGATAGCTACCAATCCTAAAATTCGGTAAATATGTATAATAGTCATATCTCATTGATTTTTTTATCATTTATTGTAAGAGAGGTCGTTCCGAGTAATTTCTCGCAAACATCAAGTGGGGAACGACATTAGTTTAATTAAAGTTTGACACTTTTAATACTTTTTCTTAGATATTATAAACTGATATAAAGAACAATGAAGTTTGTGCACGCCGTATTAATTTATTTGTCATTTTCTAATTAGAAAAAAATTCTTCTTTACATTATTTTAAAGATAACTACATGGTCGTGAATATTTTAAATTAGAGTTTTTTTGCTACTGAAGTCTCCTTTCTGCCCACGCGTGAGTCGTAAATAGAGATTTTTCAGCTATAAAATAACAGATTATTGCAACGTACATAAACTTTATCGTTAAACTTTAATTTATTATATTTCCTAAACACTAATAGTTTTTCACTTGATTTTTACGAGAAATTATTCGGAACAATCTCTCCTACAATATATTTAAGTAGCGAAAAAATTGGTGAAATGTAATTTATTGTGCATATTTACTCTAAAATTCAGAACCTAAAAGCAACTAATTAAATCTGCCATTGAGAATATTTATTGACATTTTGCGATCTATTTCATTTCATTGTCAAAGCGTATAAAAGTGGATTGATATCTGAAAAGCTATTTAAAGATTAATTCGATCTCTGTTTTTAATTGAATCGGAATTGAATCGTTTGTTCTGCAGTTCAGTTGTTCCGTAAAGAGTTGCTAGACGAGAATACATAAAATGTATGATGAGAAAATCAGGCACAACCCAGTAAATACTATTATATTAATGTTTTATAAAAGCAATAAAACGAAATGTTATAAATAATATACATAAGTATTATTGATAAATTATTGATTAATTTCTCATTCATAAATATAACATATATTATTGATTAATTTCTTATTCATAAATATAACATATATTGATCATATATAGAATTGATAATTAATAAATAAATTATAAATAATAAGTAATTGATAATTAATAATTGATAATTGATAATTAATAAATAAATTATAGATAATAAATAAATTATACATATTTAACTTATAAATTCGGACTTAATAGATAGTAAATGAATTATTTCGCATTTATCCGTCTAAATAACCTTTTAAATAACCTGTTTAATATTTTGAATTCTTTGTTGCGATTGTACTAGAAATTAAACTGACGAAAAAGATATATACTTTGAATTTTATATTAGTACTTGTCTTTTGCAAACTTGATATCCATTTCATGGCGAGAAATTAAATACAAATTAGAGTTTAGTTAGTTTCGACGTGTAAACGAAGAAACACGTAAACAATAATATATCATGTTACAATAATATTCTGTTACATTACTGTTATAATGTTGCAAAATAATACGTATGATATATTAAACTAATGTTTTATGTCATATAAATAACTTGCGTCATATTTGTTACTTTCATGTTATATTACTGTAATAGTGTTTACTGGGAAGTACGACAATTTAATTAGGTAGAACATCTCTTCCTAAGAGAAGCTTTCAGATAGGGTCTTTTTGAACAGGCGCGATTAACCGCAAAAATCGATTTTACTCACAGGATTGCTCCAAGATATAACGTCGAGTGACTCTTGTGACTTGTCGGAAAAATACGCTCTTTTATTTTTCACATGTCATTAATTTTAATCATTAATTTTAGCATTATTCGCTTCATATTTTGTTCAGTATATTACAGGAAACAAAAATGTAACTTTATAGTAATGGTAAAATGATAACAATAAAATAATAAAAGGCACAAATTCATCTGGTTATAGCATTCATGATATAATTGCATATTATACGTAAAAAAAATAAGGATAATTGTATATTATACGTAAAAAAATAAGGAAAAATGGGTGAAAAACCGGATTATTCCCTGATCTTCGAATGTAAACAATATCAGACGTCCTTGCGAGATGCGAGAAACATCGAACAATAACTCATCGCGATTCTATAACAAAGATGTATGGCTGTTTTGCGATAGAAGTGACAGAAATATAGTGAATGCAACTCCGTGAGAAACGTAAACTATGTATTTTCACATATTCTCCACATTATTCGCATAGTTTCCGTCGTGGACCGCGAAGAGAATAGGAAGCCACGTTGCGAAGCCGACAGTTTACAAAAGACAGACAACGTAAAAGCGGAGACACTTCGATAAGTCCTCAAACAAAGATATATCTGACACGTGGCAGGAAGCAAGAAAAAGTTCTTTTTAAAAATAAAAAAAAACAATGATAATGGCAGGATGTAAAAATATATTATTTATAATCATAATCAATGAAAAAATAATGCCGTCAGATTGTACCTAATTTTTCCCTTCGATTTTTATCCGATAATGAATAAAGGAAACGATTCTTCACTAGCTCAAAAAAATTTTTGTGTTTGATAACATAACAAGATATAAAATCCAGTTATCCAGGCTGTGATTAATATCAATAGATGCAAGTGTTTGAGGTCAGATTATACTTGATTTTCTCCTTCGATTTTTACTCGATAAGAAATAGGAGAGATAATTTGAAAAAACTCCTTTATCGGTGGACTAATTGTAAGACTAGGATTAGTGGCATCTATGTTCAAAGATACATTGAAAGACCATCATCATAATAGATCGCATATAAGTTTCTATCTTCAATATTAAATATCTCAATAATTTTTATTATTTTATACACAAAATCAATCAAGTTAAAATTCAAATAAATTAAATATTATTTTTAATTAAGAAAAAAAGGCTTTCACAATTAGCTTTACGCAATATTTAATTTGTTAAAAGCTTTTTATTTGCTCTATTAAGTAAATTTATAAACATCGAAATATATTCTTCAATTAATTTCAGTTGAACTTTATCATTAAAGCATTAAGCACGGTTTTATTAGCAGAGTGTTAATTATTACATTAAAAAGAAATTAAAAAATGACAGAAAACATTTTTAAATTTTCATTAAGAAATAGATTTGCTAATTAATAGTTATTTTATGTTTGTTAAATTATATTTTCGCAAAAGGGCAAAAGATAGTTTCTGAGCATTTCATATAAAATGAGATAGTTAAATATATTAGTTATATATACATTAATTGGTTGTAGATGGAAAATTCCTGACAAACAGAAAATAAAGTTATATTATAAATAAAACGAATATAATGATAAAAAACGTCTCTCGAAACAGATATTTTCAATACTTCATACAATTTGCACATGTTGAATTTTCAATAGAATTTATGATTCAATTTGAGGTAGAAATAATTTCTAAGAAAATTCTCATCATTATCAAATATTTTCAGATGTAAGTAGATACGTGTAATCAATGTCAAACTATAACAGAGTGCATTAATAATTAACGCTAACATGATTATAGATGAATGAAATGGATCAATAATCGCGTGTGTTTTTGTGATTGTAAATCGAAACTAATCTCGACAGTCTGTTGGGATTAAAGTGATGTATATACATTTCCATTGTCGAGCGATATCATGGACAATGGACAAATCTGAACTATCGACGGATATTTTCTCCCATAGAAAACTCTGTAAGCATGGCAAATAGTTCAGTAAGCTTTAAGACGAACAAATAACCGTGATTCTGTTGTTCCGTTCGGATCGACCCATTTTCCTTTTCAATATCTTCGTGAAAATAGTATGACATTTTATTATAAATTTCATAACATTTTCAGATTCTCATTTTTAGATCGCATTTTTAGTTTAGATGAATTGTACATTAATATATTTTTAAAATTTTATTGCAATTGGTCAAGCATCATAAAAATAATATAAATAAATAAATAAATAAATAAATAAATAATTTATATTTTAGCTTAAATTAGTTTAAGCTACATCTTATATTAACTATAGCATATTTTTTGAGCTTTAAGCTATCCTATATTCTGAGAAAAATCAATCTTAAAGATATAATAATATTAAATGTCTACAATCGTCGCGAGTGCAACAATCCGACATGGGAAATAGTTTTTTGCCCAATTCTGTCGCGCGTTTCACATCGCTTGTCGAAAAACGTCAGAAATGAAATATAATTATTCGGTCGATGAACGAAATGTGTGACTTGATAACGATGCGCGACTCCGGCTGAAACTGATTAAGGCTTACGAGCGCATTAACGAGATCAATTTTCGTTGATATAATTAACAATATGCCCAACCTTTCGCCTGTCGGAAAATTACATTCGTGACATCATCATGTCAAAGGCTATCGGTGAAACTTAATTGGAAACTCGCTTGTTCGTCGCTTTTTGTTCACGATGATTGAAAAATTGTGCACGAATACAGATTTATGATTTTACATGATACAACATATACCTTCGTAATTTGATGAAATTACAAAAAGACAGAGTATTATAATTTAGATTAATGTGATGTAAAACATTCTATGTGAATATAAATTTTTGTTTGAATAGATATTCATAAACGACCAACATTCTTTCAATAATTTACGCAGTATTATTTGGACGACGCAATTAGCAATATCAAGTACTAAATTGATCTTACGTAAGTTTAAAGCGTTTCATAAGCAAGTAAACGTGTAGTATGTATCACAAAAATATAAATAAAATATTTTAATATGTTTCTGACATCACGAGTATGTTGTATATTTATGTTATATATATTTCCGTGCAGGATAAATTCTTTTACCTTTTTATATTGAATATAATAACGCTCTCTTTGACAGGACTTAGACTTTAAAATGCTTTAAAGTGTGCGAGTAAATATAAATAAAATACATATTTTTCATTTTTTACACAGGTACAGCGATGGCTCCGTACGATTACGGAATCCCAATATCGAGCTCATGGATCAGGATATATTGTATCATCTCGCGCTCGGCAGCGGTTCCCATGATCTCGTTGAAATGTTCGGCGACGTCAAAGTAAGGATGAATAATTCTCTTTTATAATTCTCAAGAAAATAGAGCGAAATATTCATACTGGCGTACGTAGAAAATCTTCTGAAATATTTGAGGAAACTTTATAAGCGTATTCAACAACTTAATCTCAATTTCACAACTCGATTTTTCTACTTAACAAAAAATTAAATTAATTGACTGCGCTTCGTCTTTTCCAAACTTTTTTAATTTTTAATATTCAATATCTTATAGTAACTAAGCTTGGAATTAAAACTTTATTAAAGTGAAATCCGTTCGAGATTAAATAATTCATTCTGATTTCTACACTTTCTTGAAATTCGATTTGCCAAACCGATTTGTTTTATTTCCAATCACTTATTATTAAAATTGCATATATATAACTAATGACAAATATATAGGATTATTATTATTATTAAGCTTCATGAGAGAGAATGTGCTTTGTTTGAATTAAAAAGATACACATGTTTTCTAAGAATTTATAATTGCATTGTAAGGAATTATAAAATTCAAATGAGTCAAATGAAATTATTAGAAGCACGTGCACGTTGTTATCACTTAGTCAGTGTTTTGTTTTCCTTTTTAACAAGCTGCATTTTAATTACAGTGACATGTTCTTGTGTTCATGTATCATATCGATGACGTAATGCATACTGATAAATATTAGATGAAGTTTTTCAGTGACATAATTATGTACAAGATTAAGTGGTAATCACGCGGAATTATTATCAGCATGATTCCGTATTTATATGAGAGATCACAAAGACAGATTTCTCACGTACGTTTTTAATTTAATTATAAAATAATATATAATATATAATATATAATATATATAAATTTCATAGGAATCTATATCTTAATATTTAAAAAATATTTTTATAGATTCTTTATATAATCTAGTTTTACTATTTATTTTTATTATATTAAATTAACGAATCAGTTTTTAATGTGTATAATTGTGTTAAACTTATGTATGCAAAACGATATGACGTAAGATGTTACATTATTATATTCATAAATATTGGGATCTTGATTTCCTTTGATGAAATCAATTCGCGTAGTACACTTCTCGATAGATATTTATTACATTTGTCAATAATCGGTTTACAGTCAATTGCGTCTTTGCTCTCTGCATTTGACACTCGATTTAGATCATGAAACGAATATGCATTAGTCGCAATACCGCGCAATTGTGCGCCAGGCTGACGATGTCACGCGATACGTTCGTGATGTCAGCCAACGTCAATAAATCGCGAAATATATTTCAATGACGTGCAATTACACCATCGACCATTACTCATTTATTTTTATCATCGTAACCGATGATCTTTAACATTTAAGAATGAATGGCGCTTCAAGTAATAGATTACGAGCGCGTTAATAATCAATTTACGTATATTTCCCTTCTCTCTTTGTCTCTCTTTTTTTCTTTCAAATTTTTTACTTTCTTAATAACGTTCTTGTCTTATTCTTACGTTATAGTTCGTCTGTATGGGTGGCACACCGAAACGGATGGAAAATTTTGCCAACTACATTATGAAGGAGATTGGTCACAAGCTGCCAGCAGGAACGACTCTTCTCGACATCACTAAGAACTCTTACCGCTATTCTATGTACAAAGTCGGCCCGGTTCTCTCTATCAGCGTAAGTTCCTCGATATAATCGTTTTGATGCGGAATATTTTTATTGTTCGATATTATAATACAAAAATTCTATTTCGTTATCGAAGAAAATGAAACGAAGTGATTGAGTTCTTTAAAACGCTTTATTGTATGTCATCGTAATTGGAACTCGTTCAAATAGTAGAACATTTACACCGTCAAGCAGATTTATTTTTACACAAACACATCGAGCCGTACTTATTTACTGTGGCGTTTAATGAGAACGTGCCCGCGATATGCTTGAAAGTTGTTATCCTTTAATCGATACAAACCGTGACCGATTTTGCATAATTCGACTAGATATCGACATGTTAGCAGACGTTGCGTTGAATTTACGTCACTTTTGTGTAGAAATCGTGACACATTGAGTAAAGTCTGTAGATTGTTAGTATATCTATGATTATACTGATATAAAAAAATATAATCACGCTAAGATATTGTGATTCAAATATAAAAAATCATTAAAAAATATAAAAATAATATTTTAATAGAAAATTTGAAAATGAAACAGTACTGATACGATATTTTTTAAGATTTGATTATTTAACAATATTAAATAAAAATATATTAAATAAAATATTAAATAATATATATTAAATAAAAATCAAAGATATATTAAAGATTGATTTCAAATAAAATCTTCAGAAAACAAATAGCAATCTTAAATAAACTGAGAAATACAATAACCATCGTTTTCGTGAAGCATATTGTGATAAGGCAATACCGTTAAAAGTCATTTTAAAAAAGACAATAATATCGCAATATTCTTGACATCTTTAGGTTTAACACACACATAACATCAAGATCAGCAATCCATTCCTAATAAAGAAACGATCTGCTAAACATTCCATGCTAATCATACGCCTCTCGCTTCAACGTTATAGTATAATACTTCTCTTACTTGGATAATCAAATCGTTTTAATCGTCTTGTTTTGCATGAAGTACACATTCGATATGTCGAACAAGTCAATCGAAATTCGAGAAACGCAATTGTATTATTGCCTATGAAGGAAATTATTTATAATGGAGATTCCTTTTACGAGTGAATATTCTCTCGATGCTGCACATTTTTTAGTACAAAGCGTTTTATTTTATTAATCCCTGAATTTAAAAACTTTATTAATCCCGGAATTTAAAAACTTGGTCAATATAAAACTAACCGATTGGTTTAAATAATAATATCCTATATATTCTCTATTTGGATTGAAACAGCGCGAGTATAAAATAAATAGTATAAAATAAATAGAATTACGTAAGCTTAATAAATTCAAACTAAAGAATATATTGAGATTCATAATTTTGATATTACTAAACTCTATAAAAAAAAACTCAAGCGAACATTATTATTTAAAAAACACATCTGTTTAGCATGGTATGGGCGTACCTTCAGTTAGCATCCTTCTTCACGAAGTTATCAAACTGATGTACCATGCGAGAGTGAGGGATCCAATTTTCTTCAGGATCGGAACTTGCGGTGGTATTGGCTATGAAGGTGGTACGGTGGTTATTTCGGAGGAAGCCGTGGACGAAACGATGAAACCTCAAATGGAACTGGTCAGTTTAAATGAAATGTTCCATATCATATATAATAAATAAAAAGAAATTAATAATTCAAATAATTCAACACAAATCTTTTGAATCTTTCTTTGTATAAAATAATAAAAAAAGAGGATTATGTAGTAAATTTTATATTGCAGACGGTACTCGGGAAGCTGCTGCGCAGGCCGGCCAAACTCGATCGGCAGCTGGCTCGCGATCTTAAAGCCCTGGCCCATCGCGACGATCCCTACGATACCATAATCGGCAAGACCATGTGCTCCAACGACTTCTATGAGGGTCAGGGTCGTCTGGACGGCGCGTTTTGCGAGTTTTCGGAGGCCGACAAGATGGAGTATCTCACCAAGCTACAGAAAGCCGGCGTAGTGAACATCGAAATGGAGAGCATTTGTTTCGCCGCTCTGACACATCATGCCGGCATCCAGGCCGCCGTTGTGTGCGTGACACTAATGGATCGACTCAAAGGCGACCAGGTATGTCCAATCTATGCATTTCCAACATATCGAGTTCCGTTCGCGAAACTAGATATATAAGCTGCGTATATAAGTTTCGTGTGCAAACTACACGAACATCAAGGCGCCTTTTGCAAAACTTGCGAAGATTCTTGTGACATGTAATAAAACTAATTGCATTAAAATTATTATATATAATATTATTATACAATTATTTAAGCGACTTATAGTCTAGTATTGAAGCATTTCTTGATTATTCGTCAAGTTTTACCTGATTTGTTCTATCTCAAATATCTTTGTCAGGTATAAAAAATTCACTCTTAAGAAAAAATGACTGAAGAAGTGTGTTATTGAAAATAAGATCGCGTTATCGCTTCTTGAATGAAATGATTAAGAAAGACAGATAAGATATCACTGTTGCAATGCAGTCTTTCGATTTCATTATATATATATATATATATATATATATATATATATATATATATTAATATGCTATAAGTAAAATAATTAATGTTATCGTTCCTTGAATCGATTATGTTATATATCTAATCGATTGCTTTCGTGATTTGAAAAGGTTCTGGCACCCAAGGAAGTATTAGAAGAATGGCAGTTGCGACCGCAGACGTTGATCGCTCGTTACATCACCTCGTACCTTCAACGAAAGGGTCGTCTCTCACTCGAAGGGTCACACGGTTCCATGTACGTGAAAAGTCCGCGTCGTTTCAAACTGGTACAGCAGGAATCTGAGAATTACGATTAAAGTTATTCATCGCAACGCGAGTTCGAAATCTATGAAGATTTCTCGGGATCACGATATGATCGGACACATTGGCTCGATTTTAAAATCGACGATCGCAATTAATTTATGTCGCAAACGATCATATTTACTTATTTATTTGCGAGAAAATAATTTTACTTGCAAGAAGAGTCGCGTAGCAAGTGACGTATGAAAATGGCATATTTGAATATTCAAATTTTTCTTAATACTTGATAAAATTCTTGATTAAAGTACTTAAAATTCTTTTTATCCGACAAGAGAATATTTGAATACAAATGGCTTGCATAGCTAAATAGTACATTCTTTTTTAATATTTAATTTACTTGAAATCAAATGCAATTTATTTAATTTCCTTGCATTTTGCGAATTATTAATAGTAATTTTATCCAGGAATTATATAATTTTTTGAGAAAGCCATTGTTATGTGCGATAATAAGACGATGATTCCTGAAATTCGTGAGAGTATTAACGATTTTCAACATTGTCAAAGCGACAGCCAAAGTTTCACCGTTTATTTCGTGCGGTGATCCAAGTACAAAGTGTGCAGAAATTTATAAACTGCGCTCGAACGAGATAACCAAGCACATTTTTCACAAATACATATCTTTTAAGATCAATTTTGCATCTTCTTTGATTAACACGCGATAACAAATAAATATATCTTATATCTTATAATCTGCGATATCAAAATGAAATCGTAAATTAAAGTTTTATCTACAAAATTATTTTTAAAAAATATCAAAAATGACACTGAATCTCAGATATTAAAACTACAGTATCATAAGGAAATAAAATAATTAGAAAGAGTTAATCAAAATTACGATGCAATTGGTCGCGTAGAGATTTAATTTTAGAATTCACAGGGAAGCAAGAACCGTACAGCAAGTTCGCATATTCGCCGATTAAATATACGAAGATTTTTTTTCTTTTATTATACTCTAAACGAATGACGATAATTGTCTTGTAAATTTTCAGGGATTTATATTGAAAATTTAGGCAAACAATTCGCTAACGGACCTATCCGGTTTATTATTCGAAGTTTGCGTGTTGTATCTGATTTATTATTCGACGTTTGCGTATTGTATCGAGAGCAGTTTCGAGAGAAATTGTAAATTTAGCCTCGCGCAATCACCAACGTGTAATAGATACACTCGGTGATAAATATTAATATATATACACATATATATAATATATAATATATATGTAATATATATAATATATATATATATATATATAATATATAAAATATATATAATATATATAATATATATATATATATATACATATATAATATATATACATATTAGTATTCTTTAGGAAGTTCGGTAGCGCGCACATTCCAATATGAATACATATATATAAATATATAGTCGAAGAACCACCAAGAACTGTTTTCGTTCGATTGTTATCCGTAACATACCATAGTCTAAAGACTATCATATGAAAAAGAATTTATGTTACGGAACGAAAGAAAAAAAAAAACAGTCAATAAATATCTTATCCTTTCTCAACATCCCGTTACGTCGGTCCACCGAGATAATTGTATAATGCCATATTGCAAGGTATTTATAATTAGAATTATATATTGTATCTATTATCATGTGCAAAAAGTGCGATTTAAGTTTTCTATTAAACATAGTTGAAATAAGGTAATCGAAGATTTTCGATTATGTAGAGTGTCACATTATAATATCAATACGTTATAATAACCAGTTAAAATGGCAACGACCGATTTATTAAGCAATTTAATTATTATCTGCAATAATGTGCGTCATACTGCCATGCTAACATTTTCTGTACGTATTGGCTGATACACCAATAAATGTAATTTCAAGTGTTCAATGTTATAATTCTGCTTAGAAGTTTAGTTCAGGAAAGAAAAACATACAAATCTTCAGTCATTTTCATATAATATTCAATTTCAAATAATCATTACTAATTTATATATTTTTGTCAAAATAATAATCGACAAATTTTCATAACACAAAATTATAATCAGCTTTTTCACAAAAATATTTAATATATGCATTCATATATATTTAAGCTAATTATATGAATCGCGAGTTTTTCAAATGCGAGAAAAGATGAGATAATCGCAAAGAAATTATTAATCACAAATTAGTTAGAAATTACAAAACTAGCGAAAACTGACGAAGCAAATATGTGATCGTGATATTTTATCCATAGGGTTGGACAAAAGATATATATTAAATTTCGGAATATAAATTATTTTCAGATTTTACTTGATAAATTTTTACACTCGTATTACAAGATATTAAGAAAAAGATTTTATTCAGAATCTTTAGATAAAACTTTGCATTTTTTCATAATTTTATTTATATTTAATATAACGTTAAACAATATATATTCGAGATACTGTCCAACCCTAAGCGCGTCCACTATTGCGTTCGTTATTATTATCATTAATATTCTAGAAAAAAAAGATAGCAAAGTTGTATAGTTGTATGATACACCTTCGTTAAAATTGTTGCTAGCAGATACGATTTGCATTTGTCGTTCATATTAATCGACGTAAGAAACGGCGGAGTCTAGAATCGATATGTAATATTATAGTAAATCATTGACATTGTTATACGATTTTAATATAATTTTCCCTTTCTATTTTATATTTACTTGAGAAAATTTTTCATTATACGGCGCGTTAGTGCTAAATGAGAATTCTTTTCATTGTACTTACCATATTTTCTTTACAGTTCTTTGCAATCTATCAACCAGGAATTTCATCCACGAAGTGCGTCGAAATATTAATTTTACATTTCTTAATTATTCTTAGATGTCCGCAATAAAATATGCAAAATGTTCCAAAAGAAATTGAACATATACAGTCTTCAGATAATTCTTTCTACGAATGTTTAAAATTAAAGAGTTCAATATAAGAAAAAATAAACAATAGTTTATTAAATAGTTTACTTTTTGCTAAAAAGAGAATTGATTTTTAGAATTAAGAAAATTATATTGAATTATTTTTTTAAACTAATGTGCCATTTTTACAGTGAATACTTTATTAGAAGCGAATAATTACAAATAAAAAATATCTCAAAGCATTTATTTTCAAGCCAAAATCCTTTTTTTGTTTCTAGTGCACGTCATTTTTGAAACAACCGAGTATATTTTTCCCAATTCTTCGTCGTCATATTTATTTTCTTTCGTTCCACGAACAACGATATATCTGTGATGCATATTTATAATATGTATGAAAAATATTAACAAAAAGTATGTACCTAATGTTGATACGTATAATATACATATATGTATGTATATTCGATTTTATCTACTCTCTTCGTAAATCTATAACGCTTACTTCTCCTAACACACTCACGATGTTACAACATTTACTCTATAAAACCTTCACTGTACTCCTCTTTCGCATATAACTATTATAATATTAATCTATAACCAAATGTCTCCCGTTGATGTGACGGGATGCTCTGTTTGTAAGTTCGTTAATATATATATTCGGCTATCTAATTGTATTCTCACTGTGTGTATAAACCTGATTATTTATATATTATCCCTATGAGAGACGTCTAACATGTCCTTTTAAAAATTAATTGCTGGTACAAGGAAAAACGAAGGACGAAAAAAATACGTTGTTGATTGTATGTTATAAAAGGACAATAAAAGAAAATATTATATATCTAATAGCGTTGATTCTTACCCTCAATTTCATTCCAAGTATGGAGATGATAATCAGAAACAAAGTTATTTGCGATTAAAAAAACTGCTTATATATTATCTAGTTATAAATATACAGAAAGAACGTAACGCGGATGTAAGTATACTTATTTATTCTATAAAATAATGTACAAATAAGCAGCAATATGTGTATGCGAAAATAAATACAATGTATTATGTTTTGTAAATTCTAAGATAACGAGGAGTTTGCGAGAGAAAAAATTTTATTTTATCTTTCACGATTTTCTGGCGTTAGCTGATTGCCAGAATTTATGACAGATGCTTATAAATATAAATCAGCTTTCACTTTTCATGAAATGCCTCATGATCGATGAATAAATCCGATTTGCAATCTTATCTCTCATGGAAAGTGCGCATGTAAAATGGGAAATGAACTAGGTGTGCCACTAGATGTAACATATTTTGAGGACTTTCGATTCTAAGTATCATCAATGTAGGACATCTAGGACATTTTAGAAAGATGATTTAATCAAATATATTAGATATTGGTTTTGAAATAATTCGTATTCTTTTATATTTTCTCTCGCAAGAAGAAACCTTTTTTATTTTTTCTGATGTAATCTCTGATATAATTTCCTGTACAAAAATTTAAGAGGCTTTAAAATCTTCTTTTCTTTTTCATAAGAAGAAAAATATTCTACCTTTCTCTTCTACAGCGGAATAATCAGAGATTAAGAAACTCGATCTATTAATAAAGTTCAGATACATCAAAATTCAATTAGTAATTGAAGAATAATATAAATATCTACTTTTTAAGCATGATTATTATTCTCTTTGATTTGTTTTCGTATAATAGTTGGGAACGACGTTTCGTCGAATAGAAGGACCTGGATATGAAGAGCGATTTTATTAGATTGTAATTTCAACTCTTTACACAATGTGATCATTATGTTAATATACAATTAGGTGTAGGAATCGACACAGAATATCGAGTATAGAGCGCACTACCTCGTTATCGAGCGGATGATGGGGTAGATAATAGTAACGGCGGATAGATTATGATGATAGTAATCATATAGTGATAACGATGACATAAATGTTTAGCCGTAACGATCTCACTATGTTAGTGGATCTTGCTTAAAACTTTGTTATTTTTAAATGCGGGGAGATTCACACACGTATCCTCTTCGTTCGCGTTCGTCTCGCGAGAGCGACGCCGTCGATTATGTCACAATTAACTTTCTCAGAGCACTTCCGTCTGCGACAGAGAAAACAACGGCTTGCGACGAAACATTGATTATTGCATTATACGACATCGAATACCGGGATCGATTAGAAATCAGCATCAAATAAATTTCCTATTTTTACAAAAGATGTCGAGAGAAAAGTAGGTTTTCTCCGGCTTGATAGAGGCTAATCTGGTCTCGGGTCTCATAACGCGCTGTAATGGGAGTTACATGGGGTACTTGAGATGTGATAATCGAAATTTATGTCTGATATTTTCGTTTCTTATGTCTCTACATATACATAGGCCATAACTTTCCTTTATTGCCGTCGTTGGCTACAAAACGCAAATAAAACCGCGCCGGCTGCGACCGACCCCGATGGAATCCCGTTACATCAAATACCGCGAGACCGCGATCGATTTTGCGAAATCGAACTTTCGTTACATCCAGTACAAGCTGCAGATCGGTTTATGTGCATAGATTCAAAAGATTTCACCGCATTCTGTTGCGACGAAATTTCAAACCTTCCGACCATTGAATTATTCATTTTGGAAACGGAATGCCAATCAGTATTGTTAATTCTGTTGTTAAAATCAATGTATTTAAATGCAACGCGCGTTTTCACTGTCTACAAACGGAAATTGATCCCCGATTATTAGGGTAATAAGGCTAAATTTAATCCTAAATAATTTTAAATATCACAAAGAATATATACGCTATTTCTCTTTTTTCGCTTTGTCTGATATCTTTATAAGTGATCATTTTTCTTTCTTCATTTTTCATTATCAAGATAAGCAGTAAGATATTAAGGTTAATATTCCAGTCTGTTAAATAGTAACGCCATTTATTCATGAGCGAGTAAATTTGAATTAATACCCACATTATATAATCAGAGAGTTGAGGAATAATTCTATTTTCTAAAAACATTCTGCTTATCCTCTATTCGCGGCGTCAGAATCGCGTCGAACGCATCTAAGAGACTGGATAAAATCGCCGAATATATTTATCTTAAAGTACAATAGTAATGAGATGATAATATATAATAATAACGCGTGTGTCTACTGTATGCGCGAG